CAGAGATGCGTTGCATCAGCTGCAAAGGCGGGTGGCCAACCGTATATGCCGGGGGTTCCGTACGGTAAGCTGGGCGGCCGTGGGGGTACTCTCAGGAATACCCCCTATAGAGTTATTAGCCCGCATGTACGCCGAAGTATACAGGCGTACACGCGGGCTACAGAGGCAGGGAACGGCCGTCACAGCAGGTGTCCGGCGTACATTGAGGACCCACACCCGACGGCAATTGATAGAAAGCTGGTCCGGCATGCTGCAAAACCCGCAGCTGCCGGGGCAGTGGACCGTCGGGGCCATCCGGCCCTGCCTGGAACAATGGCTAGGCAGGGCCAAGGGGGGTGTTTCTTACCGAATGACGCAGGTACTCACCGGGCACGGATGCTTCGGTGAGTATCTGTGTCGTATTAAGAAGGAGCGCACGACACGTTGCCACCATTGCAACGAAAGGAGGGACACGGCCGGCCACACACTCCAGGAGTGTGTGGCCTGGTCGGAGGAGAGGAGAGAGTTGGAGGCAGCTATCGGGGGGGGGGGAGATCTTTCGCTGCCATCTCTAGTAAAGGAGATGGTGGCGAGAGAAGAGGTCTGGATGGCGTTCTCCTCCTTCTGCGAGAGTTATGTCGCAGAAGGAGGAAGCGGAGAGAGAGAGGGAGAGGGCTGGGAGAGGCAACTCCCAGCCCTCGGACGAAGGGGAGGAGGAAGAAGACGAGGAGGAAGGGGACGGGCCCCCTCTTTTCCCGCCACCGGCGAGCTTGCTCGTTTGTGGTGGCGGGAATCGGGGGGGGGGGCGCGCCCTCGGTGGAAGCGGAGACGGTGGAAACGGGGATGGGCCCCCTTTTTTCCCGCCATCGGCGAGCTCGCTCGTCTGTGGTGGCGGGAATCGGGGGGGGGGGTGCGCCCCCGGTAATGGAGGAGATAGTGGGAGCGGGGATAGGCCTCCCCTCTTCCCGCCATCGGCGAGCTCGCTCATCTGTGGTGGCGGGAATCGGGGGGGGCTTGTCCCCGGTGGCGCAGGAGACCGCCACGGAGGGGGGGGGCGGGCACTCTCTTTCCCCGCCATTGGGGAGATTACTCTCCCGTGGTGGCGGGGGGCGGGGAAGGGTCCGCCAATTTTACACCCGCGTCGCCATACGACGCGGGATGAGGTCGCTGGGGGGGGGGGTCGGGGACAACTAGTCCCTGGACTCTCCCCCCAGAGACCTCTCGAGAATCGGGGGCGTGGGTGCGCCGCCTTGCCTAGGCGAGGTGGGCGCGGCCGCGCCCCTGAACGGGAAATCCCCTGATTGCGGCCGAATCCTAACTCCCAAGGGAGCGGCGAGAGCCGTAATCGGGGGGACCGAGGGGGGGCCACGCGTCTTTTGGGGCGCCTGGGCCCCCCTCTATGACGGAGACGTGACGCACGGGGCCCTCTCACCGGGAGCCACAGGGCACCGGTGGGAGGGCAACGCCGTCCACGGAGGGGGTTCCTCTCCTTCTGAGAGGAACCCTCTGGAGAGGGCCTCCGGGGCGAATGCCGAATCCCCATTCCCTTCGGGAGGGGGAGGGAGCACCGCTTTGGAGGCGGGAGGTGGCGGCTCGAGCGGGATACTCGAGCCGCAACCCCGCCCCCCAAACTCTTTGGGAGGGCGCGACGTGGGGTCGATATCGCCCTGCGTCGCAACTGCGAGGACCTCCGCACGATGCAATTCGCGGGGGGGGGAGAGTGTCGCCCTCAGCGGCACCCTCCCAAGGAAGGATTAGGCGGGGGGGCGGCTAGTCGGCATGGGAAACCAGCATCCTGGCCGTCCCCCATTAACGCCCGTGAAGGTATCCGCAGTGGGTTTAGTGAGGTATGTCTTGGGCCCCCTGACCGATCCATTCGTGGATCGGCCAAGGGGAACAAGAAGTCCCACATAACCATCCGCTCTCTTCCCGGAGAGCGGTAGTATCCATGAGGATTCCCACTGCGTTAAAAAAAAAAAAAAAAGGGTGTAACGAAGCACCTTTCCCGACGCCACGGATCGGCTCGCCGGTGCCAGGATTCGGGAAGAGGGGAGACTCAGATTCACAATGACACACGGTTGCTCTGGTAAAAGTAGAGTTTATTCGGAGCCACCTTCCTGTGGTTCTCCCGTGATTCAAACCATTATACACAGCATAGTATAATCGGACGAAACGCGACCAGATGATACGGACGCGGACACGACTTATTACTAGAAGTTACCGATAGGAAGATTACGGACGAAACGCGGCCAGATTATACGGACGCGGACACGACTTATACCTAAAGTTTCCAACGCGGACACGCGTACGGGCGCCCTGAGAAGGGCGAGCTCCGTCGGGCGCCGTTGACTTTCGGGTAGGACCCGGTGATCGAGGACGCTCGGCCTGCACGACGAGAACGCTCGACGGCCGGGGTGACTCACGGACAGGACCCGGTGACCGAGAACGCTCGGCCTGCACGACGAGAACGCTCGTCGGCCGGGGTGATTTACGGACAGGACCCGGTGACCGAGGACGCTCGGCCTGCACGACGAGAACGCTCGTCGGCCGGGGTGATTTACGGACAGGACCCGGTGACCGAGAACGCTCGGCCTGCACGACGAGAACGCTCGTCGGCCGGGGTGATTTACGGACAGGACCCGGTGACCGAGGACGCTCGGCCTGCACGACGAGAACGCTCGTCGGCCGGGGTGATTTCCGGACAGGACCCGGTGACCGAGAACGCTCGGCCTGCACGACGAGAACGCTCGTCGGCCGGGGTGATTTACGGACAGGACCCGGTGACCGAGAACGCTCGGCCTGCACGACGAGAACGCTCGTCGGCCGGGGTGATTTGGAGTGTGGGAGTTGAGGAGTGATCCCTGAGTACGCTCGAGGGACCAGGACGGGACTGGTGCCGAAGTCTCGGCTGCGCCGCTCTTTATACCCGTCGGCTACCCCACTCTAAGACTAGCTTGGAGGGGGTCGAGTGACGGGTGGGGGCGAAAAGGCGGATTCCCAACGTGTTCGTGTGGTGGCCCCGAAAGGGACCGTTTACATGAGCGCGGGCGATTAGTGACGGCTAATCGGGTCGTCACAAGGGTACGTGTGAATAAGTGTGGGATATGTGTGCGTGTATGGAATGTGTGAGTGTGTGTGGAGTGTGTGTAGAGTATGGGTGTGTAAGGTGTGTGTGAGGTACGTGTGAGCATGTGTGCGATGTGTGTGAGCGTGTATGGGTGTGTGTGTGGGATGTGTATGGGTGTGTGTGTGTGTGTGGAGTGTGTGGGGGAGAAGGGTATATGTGAGTATGTGTGGGATGTGTGTGTGTATGGAATGTGTGAGTATGTGTGAAGTGTGTGTAGAGTATGGGTGTGTGTAAGCGTGTGTGGGGTACGCGTGAGCATGTGTGCGATGTGTGTGAGCGTGTATGGGTGTGTACGGGGTGTATATATGTATGTGTGAAAAGTATGTGTACATAGGGTGGTGTATGTGTGAGAAGTGTGTGTGGGGGGGCATGTGTGTGTGTATGAGTGCGTATAGGATATGTGTGATGTGCATGGTGTGTGCGGAGGTGTGTAATGTATAAGTGTGGATGTATAAATGTGTAGTATATATATATATATATAATTTATATGCGGGGGGAGGTGTTTTTAAGAATGTGTGTAAGTATGTATATAATGTGTGTCTGTCATACACATCCCACACACACATACTGATCTCATTCATATATATTCCATACACACTCACACATATCCGATACACACTTCACACACATACATTCCATACATACTCACACTTCATACACACTCACTCCATACACTCACACACATTCCACACACACATACTGATCTCATTTATACACATTCCATACACACTCACTTTATACACTCACACATTCCACACACATACTGATCTTATTCATACACATTCCATACATACTCACACATATCTGATACACACTCCATACACAGTCACACTTCATATACACACTCACACACACCCCACACATGCACACACCATCACACTCATACATACCCCATACATACCTTATTCATATATACACATTCCACACACACACTCACACATACACATACACTCGCGCGCACCCTATACAAACACATATCCTATACACATTCCACATACTCACACACACTCCACACACATTCACACACTTCATACACGCTCACACACATCCCACACATACTCACTCATACCCTTTCCACACATACACACACACACACACACACATCTTACACACATACACACACACACATGTACACACACAAAGTGTAAGTCCGACCTTGTAACTTTCCTGTGGGTATTACCAATACCGACAATAAATGTGAGGTTTTTTAAAATGGCCTGAAAATGCTGTTTATTTCAAAAAGTTGATATATATATATATAACGTCATTACTTGAATTAAATATTTTTTTTAAGAGAATTAGCAGACTTAGTAAGCATCATTTATTGATATTTTTGAATAACATATATATATATAAAAACTCATAATGAAAAGAAACAGTGCAGACTATATGAATTTAGAACACAAAAATTTAAAAACTTAAGTATTAATTATTCAATAAAAAATTAGGAAAAGAAAAATATTTTTGTTATATTAATAGACTCTAGCTACTATAGAAAAAAATTATAATGAAAATAAATCATAAGCATCTGAAACATTTAAATGACTTGCGGATTTGTTTCTTCGGAATCTTTTTGTCTGCTAAGCCTCTGACCACCTTGGCGAAACCATTCTTTTGTGACATCTTCAAATTCTTTGCTTGTGAATTGATGTTGACCGGAAATTGTTGCTGAAATATTACAATACACTAAATTAAATTTTATTTTATAAACTTGTTTATAAAAATAAATATAAAAATATATTTTACCTAGTATTCCCATTAATATATACTTTAAGCTACTAATTTTAAAATGATTTTGTAATCCTTTCCAATATGATTCTTTGGCAACTTCATTGGAAAATAAAGGTATATGCGAATTAAATTTTCTTTGGCGGACCTTCCGCCTATGCGAGATATATACAGCATCTTTAGAAATAAAACATACCAAAAATACAATTTCTATTGTTCTATTTAGATGAAATTTGTTGTACTCATCTACATTTTCTGATAAACGGTTTTCAAAAGCTGTTACTTCATTTATATTTTTAAATGGAAAAAATTGATGTATATTTGATGTATCCGTGACAGATGCTTTGGATTTATGTTGATTATTTTGTTTTTCTATATTTGTTAAATGAACATTTAGTATTCATTCTTGTATTCCTAATGTAACTGTAGTTATAGCTGTATATATATTCTTAAAATGACCTGAAAAATTAATAGTATTGAATAAACAGTGCCAAAAATAGATATAAAGTATATTATAAGACAATAAGATTATAAGACAAAAATAAATACAATACCTTCCATTTTTTCGAATCCATCTGATATTAACGTATGTACATCCTGTATACCTAAAAATTAACATTAAAGAAATATTAGATTATTCACATAATAAACAATAATAATAACTGTAATAACTGTAATAAAAAAACTTATATTATGAAAATAATATAAGTAAATTGAATTAAAGAATTTAAAAATAAAAATTACTTTTAAGTGATACTAAAATTCCATCAAGAATCTCCAGGTCAATATCATTGCTGACAACTGATGAATTAATAACAGTTGCGATAGATTGACTTTTGTTAATTGATTGCGAGGCATTTGTATTTACAGTAAGATTTGGTGGATTTGGTATAACTAAACGTGAGTCATCAGAATCAGATTCTGACTCATCGTGAGAAACAGTTTTATTCAACTGTCTTGTGCGGACTTCTTTATTTCATTTATATTGCTTTCCTTATTTGAAGAATAGTTTGTTGCTCTCTGTCTAGCTTCTTCTAATAAATCTAAATTGAGACAAAATCGTATTTAGAAATTACATTATTTTTTAAAAATATTAAAAAAACAATTTCATAAATTCTACAATAAAATATAACTTACCATAATATCCATGAAATTTAATGGGATAAGATTCCCATTTAGGATCATCAATAACAGGTGGAATTTGTTTTATAATAAAGGTATTTACATTTTTTTACCAACAGCCACCAGCATTCTTTTAAATTGGAAGAAAGCCATAAAGATGGAACTTCTGATACAATTTCTTCTTCATTATTTCCATCGCTTGGAAAAGTAACGACAGCGAAATTTTTCGCCATTATTAATAATCTGTTAAAAAATTAAGTAATTGTTAAGTAATTGTTAAGTAATTGTTAAGTAATTTAATATTTAATATTGTTTTTAATTATAGATTATATCAATATATAAGTACTCGCCATTAACATATTTCTTGTTGATGATAGATTAGATTAGATACGTTTATTGTTGCCCCAATTGGAGGTTACAAGGCGCTTTTTTCCTGTTTAAAGGAGCGATTCCAAACCTTTATGCGTTCATTTACATACAATCCTTAACCTATAACTTAAACCTAATTAATATAGACAATTATATATATAAATGATACGCTACGCCGCTCCGCTTCGCCGCCTACTACGCCCTTTCTCGCATTTCTACCCTATCTACTTCCTACCAACTCTTCCACACACACGACCTCTTTACCCTAGCCTTTCTTATCCTACGCCTTCTTATTTACTACTTTCGCATTCTTATGTATTACTTAACCTATGTGGGACCTCCGCTTCCGGTTACTGCTATCCTTTCTCACTTCTTTCACTCATTCCCTCTCTCTCCTCTCTCTCTCTCTCTCTCCCTTCTCTCACACCCACTCTCCCCCTCTCTCTCTTCCCTCAACTCTTGTCCTCCCTCTTCCCCCTTCCCTCCTTTTCCATCCTTCCCTTCCCCTTTCCCTCTTGCTTTCTCTAACCTTTTTAACCACATTTCCCCTTCTCCCTCCTCTCCTAGCACCTCTTTCACCATTTCCTGCCAGCTCTCTTCCCTTCCCCATTCCATGCATTCCTCCCACACATGCTTCCACGGAGGAGTTTGCTGCGGAGGAGACCGCGTTGGAGAGGACTGCGGCGAGACGGGATGCGGCGGTGCGAGGGCACGAGGGCGCCTCGTCCGCTCTCCTCGGAAATTTAGAACGCGCCGAGTTAAATCTTTTGCGGAGAGAGAAGGATCTGTGGGAGAGAGAGAGAGATCATTTTTTCAAAGGGAGAGAGAGCTGTTTCGCGGCTCTTCGGTGGCATCAGCGGGATCGTCCGGTGGTGAAAGTTTTAGGGGTGTCAAGGAGTTGTTGCCGGAATTCGACGGAAGTGAGAATACGTTTTGGAGGTGGAGGAGTCAGCTCGGACTTCTCAGGGACACCTATCGTCTTGACGAAGGCGCTACCAGGATCCTGATCGGCTCTCGTTTGAAGGGACGGGCATTGACCTGGTTCTACTCCAAAACCGAACACCTTGCATTGGGAATGGAGGAGCTGCTGGAAGAAATGGCGCGAATGTTCGACTTGCGTCCGGCGAGGATCACGCTCCGGAGAAAATTTGAGGCTCGCATGTGGAGGGGCGACGAGCCATTTAGCAATTATTATCACGAAAAGGTGATTCTTGCTAATCGTGTCCCGGTGGCTGAGGACGAGCTTCTTGATCATGTGATTGAGGGCATTACGAACGTGCAATTGCGGAACCAGGCGCGTCTGATGAGGTTCCGGTCGGGAGCGGAACTGCTGGAGGCCTTCGAGAGCATCGTGTTCGAGCGCAGAGACAGGATGATGGGGCCGCCCGGAGGAGCGAGACCCGCTGTCGGCGAGGGACTAGGAGCGGCGTTGGGCCCGGGACGGGCGGAGAGCCGGGGAGGCAGGGTGAGGCCAGATGCGGATGGTGGAGCCGGGCAACCGGGATTAGAGCGGACGCGGTGTTTCCGCTGCGGTGAGGTAGGCCATATCGCGGCACGTTGCGGGCGGCCGCCGACGGGTCGCGCGTGTTATGTTTGCGGGGCGTCGGGACACTTGGCGGCGGGGTGCCCTGGGCGTGGACGGCCGGCGGTGGCGGGTCCGACGGCGGGATCGACGGAGATCGTGTTGGCGGACGCGGTTCGGCCCGCCGCGCTTCCTGGACCGTACATTGTAAGTGTGGATATTTTAGCGGCGGATGAGGGCGCAGATTTTAATTATACCGACGGCGCGGTGGTTGATTCGGGATCACCGGTCAACCTAATAAGAAGTAGTAGCGTCCCAGAAAAATTGTGTTCACTGGTCGATCAGAGCGCAAATCAATTTCGCGGTATTAACGGTTTGTTATATCCCCCAAAGATATACAATAGATATAACTATTAAAAGGTAACTAATATTAAGAAATGGGTACTCGTATTACATCCGCAATTACGACAGACACTGACCGCGTTAAAAAACGCATACAATGCAAGGTATACGCGAAATCAGAATTACGACAGATAATGACCGCGTTAAAAACGCATACAATGCGAGATATACGCGGAATAGAAATTGGTCAACGTGCAAGCAAAGCAGAAGGACTTTGAATCTGCTTCGCTTGCACCTAGATTCTCGACCGGGGAAACCTGTTGCCAGGCACCCCTTCCGATCGGGAAAACTCCAAAAAACAACGATATAAAAAGAGAGTAGAGACGCGACAACTCGCTCAGTCGCAGACACAAATAATCGCTCTAACCACGATCTCGCTAACCGCGCGCGCACTTAGCATCGACTCGCAGTTGTGCGCGATACGCGGAGTAATAGAAAGTCAGTGCCGCACACTCGTTAAAGCTTCAGTGTATTATTGGTGATAAATAATAACCAAGTGGTTGAAGTTGAATAAAGAATTTTAATACGAAAAGTGTAGTGCATTTTCTACAAACACCCGACAAGTCCTGACGCCCCGGATTCCCATCCCAATTTGGCGCGACCCCCTGGTGTCTCTCCCGAGGCACACAACAAATTGGTGGCAGCGGTGGGATTGCGCCGAAGGACCGTCAGGAACTACTCGGAGGAAGACCTGAAAAATACAGCAGTATTAATAATCAGGCACGTCGAACATAATAATCGACGGGAAGCGAACAAAACAGAAGCCGACGTATAAGCAGCAGCGTGCCGTACGTACAAGAAGACACACACACACACGGACAACGCATCAGCCGTCGGGAAGTAGGCCATCACCTAAGGACGCGACCTACGACAACACGGACAACGCATCGCACCGTACAACGACCCGCCGGATCACCTTACAACACCGGACCGCCAGCCGTATCAACACTGCCGAGCAATGATCTGCAGCGTCAGCGAGCGAGCGATAGTAATGGTAGCCGTATTAATGTAAGTCCGAATCAAACTTTTTATATATAAACTGCATGAATGTCGGAGGAAAGCGAAACACCCCGACAAGCGATAGCAAATAAATCGTGGTTACATAGCGACTCAGCCGAACGATCAATCAAAGCACTACCGATAACCTTAGAAAACCTCGAAAAAGTGCGAATAAAATTAGAAGCATATTATTCAGGAGAGAGCGACTCCGAATCATATACTCACGGGAAAGCCGAACGCGAATTTCCGTTTAACATTTTTGACGAAAGTTTATTTGAAAAAGGGGAAACCGACACCGTTAAAAAATTAAGAAAAGAAAGTAACGAACGCGTAAGACGAACTCCTAGCAACGGGTCACAACGCGGGGAATCCTTGCTTACATCATACGATAGTAGTATTTTCGATCCGAGCGAGTATCAGGACATGCTGCGAACACCGCCTAACGGTGGCATGGATGTGTCCGAGAGTGCCATCGACCGCGAGATTGACCGTCTACACGGTACAATAGCTCGCGACAATACTCGACTGGTGGAAGCCGACGTACATGCACCACCCCCTAATAGCGAAATAGGAACAACTAACCCCCGCGATACCAGACGATACATAGATAGACGCGTTGACGAAATCGAGGTGCGCGAAACTCCTAATTATAGGGAGGCCGGAATAGATAACCCTATGCTACGTGAGATAATGAGAGGCATGCGAGAACTACGTAGGGAAATGCTCACGGAAATAAACATATCCTAAAAAAATCATAAAAATGAAAAGGTCAGGCCATGTTCAAAAGAAGGTACTCAAAAATTTAAACCTTTAAAAATTTAAACGATCTAATAATAAATTATCACGAAAAGTAACTGATATGTTATTCAAGGTGCCAGTTCAAAGTGAACATACGTAAAGTGTATATTATCTAAATTTAGTAATAATATATTACCATGAAAAGTAACTGTGATATTTTATTCAAGGTGCAAGTTCACATTGAATATACATACATATAAGTAAAACTGATTACAATTTGATTCTAGAAAATAAGTGCGATATGTTATTCTTAGTGCACAAAATATAATAGTCGTTTATAGAGATTTGATTTGAAATTCATACTAGCCCGTACAATGAAAAATAATTGCTCGTAATTCCAGAGTACCAATTTGTTAATGACTCAGAAAAATAACATGGCGGCCTGCTCTCAAAAAACTATGATGTTTCTCGATGTCCATTTAGAAATAATGTCGAAGCTCTTACAGAATAATTACTACAACATTTGAAGTACGAAAAGTATTACATTAGAAGAAGATTAGATTAGAATAAGAATTCAACGTATTTTTAAAAGCTCTACACACACAACGAAGTGAATATACAAAACTATATACAAATACCTTTTTCTTCTGTGTTTCTGAAGAAAATTGTAAGTCAAATGAAACCTTGCACTTTGAGAACCATGTCACTTACTTTTCAGAGTCAAATTGATAAATTTGTTTTGTATATTTTAATGATATTTATTTCTCACTTGTATCTTGAATAATTAATATGTAATTTTTTATTGTATATTACGACAAATAATCAGTAAACTTTTTAAGCGTATAGCTTTATTGTAGTTGACCTGAGAACTGTACATTTATAAATTTTACTTAATATACACCCGTTTCGAGCAACAAGGCAAAGTTTTCTGATCAATAACTTACTCCCTGAAAATACGGTATAACACAAATCGGAAGTTGATACGAAAATTCGAAATTTTACTAAAGAAAGATTGAAGGTTTTTAATTTATACAATTTTCACAACTCTTATTTCAATTATTTATTCTACCCATCGAAAG